TTAAAATTTTAAGTTACCGAGTATTTCTTTTCCCAAATCGTTTTACAATACTGTAGGTAAAACAGTATACTATTGTGCAAACCCCACAGAAAAAAAATTAACAAATGGAGACACCAAAAATGTAAAAAAAAAAAATGCTGTCTGACTTGCAACACTGTTGGTAGGGTCAGGTGGTTCTAACGGTACCTGCCAGGACCCGGTAATCAAATTTATAACAATATCTAACCTCAATTACTGTAGTTTATCTGATGTAGGCAATATGAAGTAAAAAATACCAGTTAAAGTGAGAAATTGGAAGAGAATAAACAAGAAAGATGTTGGGCTATTTTTGGTAGGGCTGAGGGAGAGAGTACCAGCTGTTTGGTCTTTTTTGGCGGGAGAGTCACGCAAATATCCGTACTAGTATTTGTTTGGTGTCTTCTGTATTTTTAAAAATGAATACTTGTAAATTAAAAGTACCGTAACATTGTATTATATAAAAACTTGTCATATTTCTGGAAAATAAGAAGCAAGAAAATAAGAATACACCGGTAAACACAATTTCAACGTACGCTAAAATTAAAAGCTGCTTAAGAAGGGCCGATGCAAACACAAAGCCTCCACGACCAGGGCTCTGCCGTATCAGCTAGACGGTACACGTGTTTATCGAATCGTTTTCAGTTAAAAAACTTTTACATCACAAGTGAATTAGGAAAGAATATTATTGTAATATAACAGTTTTTAACTGAAAACCATTCAAAAGGCGATTACGGTAACATCTTGTGAACGAAAGAAAGCGAGTCATTGTTTTTGTCACGATTTTATCCCACTTTCCACTATAATACGTACGTCATTTCAGCAAAAATATTACATTTCCATATTCTCAGAAATAAATAGTAGTTTTGCTGAAACGTGATGTATTTCAATGTAAATTAGGATAAACTACATGCAGAAAACAAAAGACTTTACCTAACCTTCCGATGTTCAAGATATGTTACTCGTATTTTTAATAGTTTTGGTTAAAATACTGTTATATTAGTGATATTCTATTCATACTGTGGTTGATATAATACCTTCACGGAAATGTAATATTTTTTGCTGAAATGACATACGTATTACAGTGGAAAGTGGGATAAAATTGTGATGAAAACAATGACTTTCGCTTTGTTTCGTTCAAAAGATGTTACCGTAATCACTTTTCGAATGGTTTAGTTAAAAAACTGTTGTATTGTATTACAATAATATCTTAATTGACTTGAATAAATATTACGATACCATATTTCTGAATATTTTCATTAAAATCCATCAAAATCATTTTCCTTGTCATCGTCTGCAGCACCACACAGCTTCTCCCAGTCCTCTCCTTGAACAGGGCTAGAGGGAACGTGTTTTTCGAATCGTTTTCAGTTAAAAAACTATTACATCACACGTATATTTTACCTGAACTGTGCCTGAATGAATATATTCTCGGAAATAAATAGTAGTTTTGCTGAAACGTGATGTATTTCAATGTAAAATAGGATAAAATACATGACGAAAACAAAAGACTTCACCTAAGCTTCCGATGTTCTTGAGATGTTATTCGTTTTTTTAATAGTTTTCGGTTAAAATTCTGTTATATTACAATGATATTCTATTCATACTGTGCTTGATATACTACATTCACGGAAATGTAATATTTTTTCCTGAAATTACGTACGTATTACAGTGGAAAGTGGGATAAAATCGTGACGAAAACAATGACTCGCTTTCTTTCGTTCAAAAGATGTTACCGTAATCGCTTTTCGAATGGTTTAGTTAAAAAACTGTTGTATTACAATAATATTCCCTCCTAATTGACTTGAATAAATACTTGAATGGAAATATACAATATTTTTGTTGAAACTACCCGCGTTTCAGTGTAAAGTGTCGTAATAATAAATGGTAAACAAGTTTATAGGACGTAGAGTTTTTCTGAAGGTTTTGTTGTTCCATTTCCCTCAAAAACTTGGGTCGACCTATAAACGAGGAATATCATAAATTAACGATTTCTTGCTCATAAAATCGGGGTCGACCTATATACGAAGGGGGGTTATAGACGAGTATATACGGTATATATATATATATATATATATATATATATATATATATATATATATATATATATATATATATATATATATATATATATATATATATATATATATATATATATATATATATATATATATATATATATATATATATATATATACTGAATATACTATGTACAAAAAATGAATGTTCAATGAATTATTTATGGTGCATTAGGGTACTGGTCACTTCTGATGGGCTATAAATAGCCTTCTTTATCTCCCCTACATCTCACCCTGAGCCAGACGGAAGGGTCTTGGTAAATAACATGTTTGCTTATTTTCCATTTACTTTAAATAGATTTACCGAATTATTTGTTTTATTTATTTATTTATAATATACTGTAATATATTAAACACACTGTAATTATTTTCTTTAATTTATAAACTGTTTTGCGACAAAGGAATGTTCTCCAGTAGTGTTTCATTAGGATTTGAGTGAAAAAATATTACGTACTTACACAATTGTTCCTCTTACTTTGACAACACAACATACATACAGTATATTATTTCTCAGTTTTGATCTTTTTTTTTAATTTTTGTATTTATTTATAGTTAGTTACTTAAAATAAGGCCAATTCACTTCAAGTAATGGCATCAAATATTACCAGCTGGTGTAGTGTAAACACTAGTGACGTCACTTGAGCGTCTGTAATTAACCGTCGTCGATAGTTTCAAGAATTAATGCACTCATTTACTGAATAGTCTTTGGAAAAAAATAAAATTTAAATCAATTATTTATAGGAGATAAATATTATTATGAGTAAATATACCGATACCGGTATGCATTACTGACCACCTCCACGGCTCCTCACTGGCAAATGGGGGGGGGGGCGTGGGGAGGGGTGTGTGATGATAGCTGTGTTTATTATAGGGGTATAAATCTCTTTTACGGTATGTTAGACAGGTTTATAATACATTTTTATTATTTTAATATACCGGTAATCTTAATTTGAATCCAGCTTGCCAAACGTAAGTTTCAGTATAAAATAATTAGTGGTAAGACCTTGTGAGTGGCTTACGATGTTTTCATCACCACTCTTGACACACTAAACCACAATATTTAAGAGGTAAGAATTTTAAACTTGGTGGTTTAGACGACCCCCTAACTTTGGGCAGATTTTTTTAATGTTCAAATTTCGTCTTATAGGCCGTGATATACGGTAAACTTCTTGATATTTACTAAAATAGTAAGGAATTTAAGCCCTAGAACCGATTAATGTATTGGCGGACTGATACTAAAGCTGGTTGCCTGGTTAGTGCAAGCGAAAACATGTTGAGGTCGGTCCGTAAGAACTTCGTTAACCGAATTTTTTTTCGTTAACCGAATTGAAGATTCTTATGGAAGGCAGTTCGTTAATCGAAATTACGTTAACCGAGGTGTTCGTTAAACGAGGGGTCACTGTATACTAATTTACTGAGTGTTTAAGACAGACGTTGGGGCAAGCATGAGTGGTGAAGGAGCTAAGCCTATAAGCTGTTTACCCTTTGTAAACAAACAATTCATGGTGTTGAATGTGGGATTTCTTTCAGGAAAGTTGAATCTTTTAGGATAATATCTATCAACCTAGCACCAAATGAACCTAAATATTGTAAAATGAGAATTATGGTGAAATTGCATAAAGACGTGTTAAAGGGATCTTGGGGAGTGGAGGATGGAGCCACCAACCCGTGCTACCACCATCCGTCTGATGCTAGCAGATATACACTCGTCTTTCACATGCAATATACCCCTTCACTTATTTGTTCTTATTTTTGTCTTTATAGTTATGGACAGTATGCAGTTTTATCTTTATAATACTTTACAGTAAATAACAATCAACTTGGTGAAAACAGTTGTTGACAACCAGACTTCTGATTTTCAACCCAGAGACTTCTGTTTCATATTTGTGTATTGTTGCTGTAATAGGGTTTTAATAACCTTGTTATACAGTTATAGACCTTAGTTGCTGAAGTGCAGAAATACCATAACAATTGATTTCCTTTAAACAGTCCCAGATCAGCAGCGTTCCCCCCCCATACAGGTAGTTCTGCTATAACGCGATAATTGTGTTCTTGTAAAATATCGTGTTATAGAAAATCGCGTAATAGAAATAACAGGGCTTATGGAGAAAATAGGGTTAGGTGCAGATTACTCGAAATCGAAAAAATTTAGTAGTTAGCCTAACACAAAGGATAGCACAGTCTAAATAAATGTTACATTCATATCTAATAATGAAATCATACAGTAAATTTAACACTTTACCTTGAAAAAATATGAATGTAACTTGATGGGGGAGAAGGGTGATTTTGAGGTTGATAACATCAAGCTTCTCTTCAAGTGTTATATCCTTTCTTTTACGATAATCACCGGGAATTCTATTATCAGAATGCTTTTTGGAGATATTCTTCTTTACCATATTCACAGTTAATACCACAAAATTGGAGAAATAGTAAGCAAAAATCGCGTTATAGCAAACAAGCGATCGCGTTATACAAATATTGTTCCGAATTCATAAATCGCGTTAGAGCAAATTCGCGTTATAAAAACACGCGTTATAGCAGAACTCACTGTACTCGCTTTTATGGGACTGGGGTCTGCCCCAATTAGTCCAATTTATCAAGGTTCTACTGTACATCTAAAATCACTTAATTTAAGAGAAAAGAAGAAATAGACTGACAAAATATAGTCACTGAAAGGAAAAAGTAAGTCATCAGGTAAATACAACCCTGTAAATTAAAAGTTTAACTTTATAGGACCTCATTCGTATTGGCGAATGTTTGTAAGTCTAACACATGTAACACGGGGACCTCATGTACCGTAATTCATATTCTACCAGTAAATAAAACATTAGCATATGCTTCAAGACCGACAAATTCTCAAATCAATGCAAAAAAATTCATTATTTCATATCAACAAGTATACCATACCTGATAAGACGGTGCGATATCTTGTGGTCAGCTTTGATGTTCACCCATATTGAGAGGGATGCCAAAGGAATTACTGCATACTTGTGATCCACTATGTAAAAAACATATTCATTGTCAGTCCTTTTTTTCTGATTGATTGCTTCCTCGCTTTTAACATATTCTGAAGAAAAGAATATATGTTCATCTACTGCATGATCAATATCCTCAGCAAAAGCTGATGTTTCTTGAGGACAATTTTTAAAGGAAATGATCAGTCTATCTGTACATTTATTTTCTGTGTCCTCTTCAGTTATCCCTTCCGAGTCCAAGTGTGAAACATTACCTCGTTCACCCATTCGGAGGTAGTTTATTAGTGAATAAAATCTAGCCAAAGTGTAGGCTTGGTCCTTTTCCTCTTGGGTACGACTGTCAACAGGGTAATCAAATTCAGTTATTATTTTATATGAATCCTCTCTTATAACAGAAGCATCTGCACTCTTTGTAATCCCTGCACCATTTAATGACTCTTCACAACAATTGGAATCCTTTATACTAATTTTCAAGTTTTCCTTTACAATGCTGGTTAATAATGCCTCTTGGTCTTCTGTTGATTTAAAAAAGAAAGCCATTTGTGTACAATAAGTGTTATCAGGTCCCAATCCACATCCAGAATATTCCAGATAATAACTGCTATTGTCTTCTATAATTTCCTGGCACCTGTTATTGGAAGAAATTAATGAGTTGTTATTGTAACTATATCATAGAACTACGTATTTATAATTGATCACACAATTCTGTGTGTTAGTTTGGTTATTCAAAGGTACAAGCCTCTGAGCAGGACAAAACTTGTGTTAAACTAAGAAACAAGGCCTAGTAAAATCTGAACCTTTAATAATTAAGAACAAATGTAAACAGAATTGGTCCCCTTGTAACTGGAGTTGTAATACAGCATCAACTAGCTGACACAGGATCACATGTAATACAGCACCAACTAGCTGACACAGGATCACATATAAGACACCATCAACTAGCTGACACAGGATCACATATAAGACACCATCAACTAGCTGACACAGGAACACATGTAATACAGCATCAACTAGCTGACACAGGATCACATGTAATACAGCATCAACTAGCTGACACAGGATCACATATAAGACACCATCAACTAGCTGACACAGGATCACATGTAATACAGCATCAACTAGCTGACACAGGATCACATGTAATACAGCATCAACTAGCTGACACAGGATCACATGTAATACAGCATCAACTAGCTGACACAGCTGACACAGGATCCATGTAATACAGCATCAACTAGCTGACACAGGATCACATGTAATACAGCATCAACTAGCTGACACAGGATCACATATAAGACACCATCAACTAGCTGACACAGGATCACATGTAATACAGCATCAACTAGCTGACACAGGATCACATGTAATACAGCATCAACTAGCTGACACAGGATCACATGTAATACAGCATCAACTAGCTGACACAGGAACACATGTAATACAGCATCAACTAGCTGACACAGGAACACATGTAATACAGCATCAACTAGCTGACACAGGATCACATGTAATACAGCATCAACTAGCTGACACAGGATCACATGTAATACAGCATCAACTAGCTGACACAGGAACACATGTAATACAGCATCAACTAGCTGACACAGGAACACATGTAATACAGCATCAACTAGCTGACACAGGATCACATGTAATACAGCATCAACTAGCTGACACAGGAACACATGTAATACAGCATCAACTAGCTGACACAGGAACACATGTAATACAGCATCAACTAGCTGACACAGGATCACATGTAATACAGCATCAACTAGCTGACACAGGATCATGTATAAGACAGCATCAACTAGCTGACAAAGGTTCACATGTAATATAGCATCAACTAGCTGACACAAGGTCAACCAGATATCTAGACGGTCCGTCCCTCATGACGATCTTCAGGAGTGAAGTGCTTCCCCATCTGGAGTACTGTCACCCCATCTGGTCCCTGAGATATGCTAGGGACTGTCAGTTGGTTGAAAATGTTCAAAGGAGGGCCACCAGACTGGTGCCTGCACTTCGGCACCTCAGCTACCCTGAGAGATTGGAGCGCCTGAACTTGCCTAGCTTATACTACAGACGGGCAAGGGGGGACCTAGTTGAGGTGTATAAGCATCTCAGGGGGCACTACTCAGTTGAGTGTCCTTACTTGGAGCTGGCGGACGCTCGCCCTACAAGGGGTCACAGCTCAAGATTGAAGAAGCCTTAAGTCCAGAAAACCGTGAGGGCAAACTTTTTCGGAGTGAGGGTTGTAAACTCTTGGAACAATCTACCAGAGAGTGTTGTGACGGCACCGAGTGTGAGCTCTTTCAAGAGAAGACTTGACCAACACTGGAGCGGGTTAAGGTATATTCAGGAGCCGGTGCATGCCCAGTATTTGCCAACAGTGCGTGACAGACGTGACCGATCGCCCGGGCGGCTAGCGAGCCGATCCTTTGGTGAAGAATATAAATGAAAAGAGACGTGACTGATCGCCCAACCGGCTAACAAGCCGATCAGTGGCGAAAAGGATAAAAGTAAAAGTATATAAGACACCATCAACTAGCTGACACAGGACAACATGTAATACAGCATCAACTAGCTGACAGGACCACTTGTAATACAGCATCAACTAGCTGACAGGACCACATGTAATACAGCATCAACTAGCTGATACACGATCACATGTAATACAGCATCAACTAGGTGACACAGGATCACATGTAATACAGCATCAACTAGCTGACACAGGATCACATGTAATACAGCATCAACTAGCTGACACAGGATCACATATAATACAGCATCAACTAGCTGACACAGGATCACATATAATACAGCATCAACTACCTGACACAGGATCACATGTAATACACCATCAACTAGCTGACACAGGATCACATGTAATACAGCATCAACTAGCTGACACAGGATCACTAATACAGCATCAACTAGCTGACACAGGTAATACAGCACTAGCTACAGCATCAACTAGCTGACACAGGATCACATATAATACAGCATCAACTAGCTGACACAGGATCACATATAATACAGCATCAACTACCTGACACAGGATCACATGTAATACACCATCAACTAGCTGACACAGGATCACTACAGCATCAACTAGCTGACACAGGATCACATATAATACAGCATCAACTAGCTGACACAGGACCACATGTAATACAGCATCAACTAGCTGACACAGGAACACATGTAATACAGCATCAACTAGCTGACACAGGATCACATATAATACAGCATCAACTAGCTGACACAGGATCACATATAATACAGCATCAACTAGCTGACACAGGACACATGTAATACAGCATCAACTAGCTGACACAGGACCACATGTAATACAGCATCAACTAGCTGACACAGGCATCACTAGCTGTAATACAGCATCAACTAGCTGACACAGGACCACATGTAATACAGCATCAACTAGCTGACACACATATAATCACATGTACAGCATCAACTAGCTGACACAGGATCACATGTAAAGCATAGCTGACACAGGATCACATGTAATACAGCATCAACTAGCTGACACAGGGGATCACATGTAATACAGCATCAACTAGCTGACACAGGATCACATATAATACAGCATCAAAGCTACATATAATGCATCAACAGGATCACATATAATACAGCATCAACTACCTGACATACATGACCATCAACTAGCTGACACAGGATCACATGTAATACAGCATCAACTAGCTGACACAGGATCACATATAATACAGCATCAACTAGCTGACACAGGACCACATGTAATACAGCATCAACTAGCTGATACAGGAACACACAACTAGCTGACACAGGATCACATATAATACAGCATCAACTAGCTGACACAGGATCACATATAATACAGCATCAACTAGCTGACACAGGACCACATGTAATACAGCATCAACTAGCTGACACAGGACCACATGTAATACAGCATCAACTAGCTGACACAGGATCACATATAATACACCATCAACTAGCTGACATAGGATCACATATAATACAGCATCAACTAGCTGACACAGGACCACATGTAATACAGCATCAACTAGCTGACACAGGACCATATAGAAGACTCCATCAACTAGCTGACACAGGATCACATATAATAGAGCATCAACTAGCTGACACAGGATCACATGTAATGCAGCATCAACGAGCTGACACAGGATCACATGTAATACAGCATCAACTAGGTGACACAGGATCACATGTAATACAGCATCAACTAGGTGACACAGGATCACATGTAATACAGCATCAACGAGCTGACACAGGATCACATGTAATACAGCATCAACTAGGTGACACAGGATCACATATAATACAGCATCAACTAGCTGACACAGGATCACATGTAATACAGCATCAACTAGCTGACACAGGAACACATGTAATACACCATCAACTAGCTGACATAGGATCACATATAATACAGCATCAACTAGCTGACACAGGACCACATGTAATACAGCATCAACTAGCTGACACAGGATCACATGTAATACAGCATCAACTAACTGACACAGGAACACATGTAATACAGCATCAACTAGCTGACACAGGAACACATGTAATACAGCATCAACTAGCTGACACAGGAACACATGTAATACACCATCAACTAGCTGACATAGGATCACATATAATACAGCATCAACTAGCTGACACAGGACCATGTATAAGACAGCATCAACTAGCTGACACAGGACCATGTATAAGACAGCATCAACTAGCTGACACAGGACCATGTATAAGACAGCATCAACTAGCTGACACAGGACCATGTATAAGACAGCATCAACTAGCTGACACAGGACCATGTATAAGACAGCATCAACTAGCTGACACAGGACTATGTATAAGACAGCATCAACTAGCTGACACAGGACCATGTATAAGACACCATCAACTAGCTGACACAGGACCATGTACAAGTTCTGTTCTTACGGACGTTCTTAAGTCGAAAATGTACTGAAGTTGATACACATACCCTATGTGCATACCGTACTTACAGAACAATGTTTAAAATCCCACTATATCATAGTCGGTGTCCTTATATACATCTAAATTCACTTAATTTAAGAGAAAAGAAGAAATAGGATAACTAAATACAGTAAATGAAAGTAAAAAATAAGTCATCGGGTAAAGGTAATATTTAGCGCAGGGACTACTGCTTGGGAAGATATTGGAAGCACAATGTGTTGTCTAATGTTCCTGGGTGGGCTAATCCCCATAAAGAAAAAAATAAATTTAAAATCTTACTTTATGGGACCTCATTCGTATCTGCGGATGTTCGTAAGTTAGACGTACATAACCCAGGGACCTTCTGTATTTATCAATTATTTGAGTTTTAGATTATTTAGTTATTATAGCAACAGGATAAAACTTGTTTGAGCTCTTCAGGGTCTCAAGAACAGCAACCTATCTTCCCCCATAAGTTATTAATATTGATATACGATTGAACACTTAACGATGACTTTTTGAAGTCTATATCCCCATCATAAAATGGTTACACCTATTTATCAAAGTTAGCTAGAAAGGGAGATAAGTTGCATCAAAAAGTTGCAAATACAGTGATATCCCCATTAGCCGGAACGATTGGAGCAG